ACTATATGATTTCACACATATAAAACTGAAACTCATGAACACAAGCTGCACTCTGGTGATGCCAGGGGGAAGAGGGTAGGGGGCGAAGGAGGTTCTAATGTAAGGTGACAGGAGAGCATTTGACTTTGGGTCATAAGCACATGGTACAATATACAGATCTTGTAACATAGAAACCTGTACCTGAAACCTATATGTTCATGCTGACCAATGTCACCCCAATGAATTTAATTTAAAAAATTGTGTTGGGGCTGCTGGGTAAATGTGGTACAGAGGTAATCGACTCACCTCATCTTAGGGCCAGCTTCAGCCTTCTCTGCAACTCCATTACTAGCAGTCACCAAATGACTGTGCGGGACTCAGGGCATCCAGTTATGTGACTCAAGAGTCTCATTTGCAATTACTATTAACCAGAAAAGCCCCATGACTGCTCTGTGCCCACAGAGTAGAATATCTTACAATATTCACAGAAACCAAAGGGCTGGAAGAGGCTGCAGGGGAAGGCTTTAGAGTTAAGCTCCTGGAGTGAGCACCACTGGCTCCTGCCTCTCCCTTATCCTTCCTGCCCTGGAAGGTGCTAATGAGCTGTGAGGAGGCTCAAGCCTGGACAGCAGAAGAAAGGCGGTATTATTCCTGGAGAACTCAGAATGGGGCCCTCAGAGGTGGCTATGTCAATAAGAACTGAGTAACTACAGGATTAAACAATCTTGTCAGAGCCTTTAACTGCTTTAATAAGATATTCAGGCTGAACACTCCAAAGGCCGCCTCTAAATTTCTAAAAACAATGCTCAGGTCTTCAGCTCTCATTTGGCTGCCTGCGGTGCTGCATCAAGCACTTAGTGAAAGCCCCAAGGCCCATGGGATTTCCGAAGATTATTCCATAAAAGTAGGGGCAATGTTTGGCTTTGCCACACTTTTCTTCTTGGCTCCCTCCTTCGATGATCCTCCTCCTCCTCCATGTATCTCCCCTCCCCCGCCCCCTGTGAATGAAGAAGCAGAGGGCCGCCAGCCAAGAACACTGGCTTCTTAGAATGAAAGGCATGTGATTGCTTCAAGTAATGGTACTAAAAATGCCCTAAGTTTCTATTTAGCATTTGTCAGGCACTTAAAGTCATTACTGTCCCATGCCCCTCCCACTATTGTGTGTGCATGTGGGTAAACCCAAGGTTAACAGGTTACAATAGAGAAGAGCTCTGGGGAGGCTGAATAGAGGTAGAGGTGGGGAGGTTAAGCCCTCACATCTGGAAGCTGGGGAGGACACCGGGGGTCTCGGCAATGATGCTGACACTAACAAAGGCCTCTTGCAAGTTTCTCAGAAAGCGTCTGACTAGCCTTCTTTCAGGAACTGGTTTATCAGGGGCTGTGGGTAAGAGGAGGAAGTTGCCCAGCCGGCCTCAGCTCAGCTACTATCTGCTTGGGAAGGCTGTGGACCCACCCCAGAGGGGCTGTGCCGCCACCTCAGATCCTTCCCTGGAGAAGTCTGGGTTCAGCACCACAGGAAGCCCGAGTCCAGTCCATCCCTCCAAGGGCACCTCTGGAGACGGGAGGGAAGGGAGAGTGGTGCCCAGGGCAGGCATTATAGAAGCAGCTAGGGTGGATGGGAGAGGAGCTAGGAGAGAAAGGCACTTTGGATTTGGAAACAAGAAAAAGACATGAGGGAGAAAGGAGTGATGGATCCAGACCAGGATCAGAGCCCTCACTGGAGCCAGCCCGGGCCGCTGGCTGCACTTCAGTAACCTCTGTGAATGAAGAAGCAGAGGGCCGCCAGCCAAGAACACTGGCTTCTTAGAATGAAAGGCATGTGATTGCTTCAAGTAATGGTACTAAAAATGCCCTAAGTTTCTATTTAGCATTTGTCAGGCACTTAAAGTCATTACTGTCCCATGCCCCTCCCACTATTGTGTGTGTGTGTGGGTAAACCCAAGGTTAACAGGTTACAATAGAGAAGAGCGCAGGAAGGAGAAGTGGTGGCATCACCTGTGCAAGGAGCCCTCCCTACAGGCAGAGACAGACAAACAGACAGTGTCATTTGCACTCCACAGAGGCAGCTCTGGTATAGATCCTTCCCCTGCCTGGGACTTGCTTAAAGCAAAGACCCCTCATATTCCAGGCCAGCTACACTAAACATCTCTTTTAATTAGGATGGGATTAAGGGGCTAAATGACTTTAACCAGGGTGTCTGCATTCCTGGGAAGTCTTCTGCCTTCCATTTAGAAGGAAAGATACCAGCTTCAAAGGAATCCCAGGTTACTTAAGTAATTGCCATAATAAGATTGAGAATGAAGGTGACCTATACAAACATGATAAATACACAATTTTCTCTGGTCAGAAAATGAATTTTGATTATAACTCAGCACTCGCCTCAGGCCCTAAAATACTGTCAGCATTATCAGGAAATCCCAGGAAAGGACGAAGGGCAAAAATGTTTCCACAAAAGAAAACAAAGCCAAAAACACAGTTTTCCCAGCCCTCTTAGGTAGCTGTGTGCCACCTAGAACATTGAAAGTGAGGTTGCAGTCCCTGTGTCCTTAGTCATCAACCCAGGTACCAGCTTGTCCTACAGAGTGTGGGGAAGCACCACAGATCAATAGCTATTCTGGGTTAACATTGCCACAGCTTTCTTTTCTTTGAAAGAATTTTTCCCCATTTGGATCACAGCTTATTATATTCTAGGCATATTTCTGTGGTCTGTCTATGGAAATTAATGCTTACAAGGAGCACTTTTCTTTTGAGGTTTTATGTATTTTTTTAATATAAGTGATGGGAGCAGCAATGCACCTGTGGAATTGGTCCTTTAAAAGCTCTGCAAATGACTGTTAAACCTCAGGTTTGAGAAGCAGGTAATATGCACCTGACGCACCACCTGGATCGTGGATGAGCACAAGGTGTTACCTGCATCTCCACGGAGGCAGCCTGGGCTGCAGAGGTGCCTCTGCCTGGCACGGCCTCTGTGAATCTCGTTTGTTCTGCTGCACCCTCTGGTTGCATTAGCAGCACTCAACTTGCTTTGCTTACCTGCAGTGAAGCTCATCTGAGCCAATCTCTTAAGTAATTTTTTATGGAACGTGGAAAGCCAAATGAGAATGTATTTGAAAAAGTGAGCCATGGAAAGTAGCCTCTCAAAGCATATGTCCCCTATTTTTATGTTGCTGCTTATAGCGTTTCTAAGTCGACTAAAGGCTTTAAGTGACAACTTTTGAAGTTCCCGATGAATCCCTACATATTATGGGCAATAACATAATTTCTTTGAAGGAGAGTGTTATAAAGCACATCCACTCTAGTATCTCTTTTCAGCCTCACAGAGCCATGGAGGAGGCAGGATAGGAATCTGTACATTCATCTTGAAAGGTTCAGAGAGGTTGAGTCTTGAGGCCACACAGCTCATCAGAGCTGACCCATAACCTCCAACCTGACTCTGGACTCCTGGACGCAGGCAGCAGAACTACTTGTCTATATCCGGGCACACATCACTGAAAAATATACGCAAATGCAATGCACCCACCCCACACCAAGATCTGAGCGCCCTCTGCTCCTCCATCAGCAGCAGTAGGCAATGAGCCACAGAAATCCAAACTTTGGGAAGGCTAAATCTCATAAACAATTTTCAAATATATTGAAATGCAAAACAGGAGTAAACAAAATGTCTTGCCACAGGGAACTAACTAATGTAAAGTGACAAAATAATGGGAGTTTGAATGTGCTCTCAAAAGTGGCCATGAAATGGAATTCAGAATCACATTTTAATATGTACACCATACACTTGCTTGGCCAAGGGTGACTAGTGGTGAGTTCTCATTTATAAAACTAAGCCATAAAAGAAATAGTGAAATGAGGGGAGAGAGAGAGAGAGAGAGAGAGAGAGAGAGAGAGAACGGGCACAAGAGAGGGAGAGATTGCATTAGATGGTGTTAGCCACAGCTTCGGTACCACAAAACACCAGGACTGGCCCCAGGGGCTCCAGGCAGCTGTCCCTTCTAGGGACTTGCAGATATTGGGGGGCGGGTGTTGGAGGCACCCACCAGCGTTGCCCTGCAGTGATCTGACCGAGAAGAGTCTAACTCTTTCTAGGAGTTTATAAAGTGATGAGCAACAAGCACCTCCCCTCCTGCACAAGATCAGTCAGCGGTCAGAATAACAGATCTGTCCTCATAGAGATTATTCCAGCACATTCTTCCTACAGACGTGCCCTTCCCCCTCTCTCTCAGCCCTGGGTATAGTGAGGACAACTCCCAATGAGTCCATCATTTATTTTAGCACGGAGTCATGATGACTGTTTCATATTTCGGGA